TTTCATTGATTTTTTTGGTCTAGTTGATTTATTTGTGACAGTGGGTTATTGAGGTCGCCCACTACTATTGTATTAGTGCTTATTTGATTTTTCATGTCCGTTAATTTTTTTTTTATGTAGTTGGGTGGACTAGCATTTGGTGCAAATATATTTATGATTGTCATTTCTTCCTCTTGTATTGTTCCCTTTACAAGGGTGCTGTGGCCTTCTTTGTCTCTCTTAATTAGTTTTGGTTTGAAGTCCACTTTGTTTGCAAGTAGGGTAGCTACCCCTGCTTTTTTTCAAGTTCCTGTCACATGGAGTATTGTTTACTTATTTTCCCCCGTCTATTTAATTTCTTGTCTTCTCTGATTCCTTCATTCTGTTGGGCTCCATGGAGTTGTGACCCTCATTGTCTTTTTCGAGGATATTGTTTAGAATATTTTGGAGTGCTGATTTGATATTCATGAAGTTCCTAGGATGTTCTTTGTTGTGAAAGTATCTTATTTCTCCATGATTTTTGAAAGACAGTTTTGTAGGGTATGTCAATCTGGGTTGGAGGTTTTCTTTTAGGGCTTGATATACTTTACTCCAGGCTCATCTTGACATGAGGATTTGTGTTGAGAAGTGCTGTGATTCTGATGGGCTTTTTTGGTATGTAAATTGTTTCTTTTCTCTAACTGCTCGTGGGATTTTGTTTTTCTATTGTGTTTCTGGACTCTTGACTATTATGTGCCTAGGTGTAGATTTTTTTTTTTTTTGATCACGGCTATTTGGAGTCCTATATACCTCACTTCTCTGTATGTCAAATTCTTTTCCCCTACCTGGGAAGTTTTCTGCCATTACTTCTGTGAACAGTTTTTTTATGTCATTTGCACTGTCTCCTGCTTTTTCATTGACTCCGATTGGTCTTATGTTATTCTTTTCTGCATCATCTAGTAGCTGCTGGATTGTTTTCTCATGGTCCTGTAGTATTTTTAAGAAATCTTTCTTTTCCTGGTCACTAACCACAATCCTGTCTTCTGTATCTGATATCTTGTCTTCACATTGGCTCATTCTGCTGCATATACTTTCAAAGGAGTTTTTAATCTCCTGGATATCTGTTTGTATATGTGTTATGGATTCTGTTTCCCTCCTATGCTGGGCGTTCATGGATTCCATGATGTTCTGGAGCTCCTTTATTTTTTTATCTCTGTCTTTTCTAAGGTTAATAATCATGTCTTTCACTATGATCACCATCTCTGTTATCTGAGAAATTATTTCTGTTTCATTTTTTCCAGATCCTCTTTCATTGCTAGTTCAGAGTTCTCCAGGTGACTGAGTTTTGGATTGTTCTGTCTCATTGCCCCCTATATTTTCCTTTTGTGATATGGAAAACTGGATTTGCATCTTTAGGTGTCTTCTCATTTCTATTTTTTTGTGCTGATGTTTCGGGTTTTTAATTCCTGGTTTGCTCTTTGTAAAATGCTTATTGCAAGAATCTTTCTTGCTAGTATTTAAAACCTTTAGGAAATAGCTAGTTCTTGGATTATCTTCCAGGTATAGTTGGCTTTTGGGTTTTGAGTCTGTAATGACACTTAAACAATCTCAGTCTTGGTATACCGGGAAGGACAGTTGACTAGAACAATCACATCACCTTGGCCAAAGTAATACAGTCAGCATCAACAGTAGCATCAAACACAGCTTGGAAAATGGCAAGTGGTGGTAGCTATTATTCTGACACTTTTAACCACAAGAACTAGTAAGGACCAATCAAAAATATGTTTACAGTAAATAAGCCCTTCAATGTAGCAGCTTTACCCTCTGGGAAGGAGACTTAGAATGAGTTGGGGTTGGAGGGGAGAGAGAGGTTAGAAATAGGGCTAGAGGACACAGGAAGATTACACAAACTTTGGGAAACTGGTGAAGATAAGAGGAAAAGAGAGATGAAAGGAACAAATACAAGAACAGAACAAACTTAACAGCAACGGGAAAACTAGAAACTGTATTCACTTTCCTATAAGAATAAGAACAATTGAGAGAAATAGAAAAAGAGGAAAGGAAAAAACAAGACAGTAACAGGAACAAGAAAGAACAATGGAGAAGGAGAAGGAGAAGAGAGAAGGAAAAAGAAAAGAAAAGAAAAGAGAAAAAAAGAGTTCCCCTTCGAAGCATGTCTCTGCTGTCACTGGTAGACAACATGGGCAGCAGCCTACAGATCTAAGATAATCTCGCCCACCATGGTCCACTGAGATTCAAGCTGCTTTCTGGCTGCAAGATCAGAATTGAGCTCCCTGATCTCCAACCTCTGTAGTCCACTCGGTCTTCACTACAGTGTCTCTCTTCACTCTCCTCATGGGCTTCAACTTTCTGACTTCTGGGGTTGAGATCTGGGGCCTTTCCTTAATCAGCAGTCTTCCCTATGTCTGTAGCCCAAGTTTCCCCTCTGTGATCCTGTCCACACAACACTCTCAGCCACTGTGGCACCTTTTGCATGTGTCCGCTGACCCAGTAATGGGAGGGGGGAGTGTCCCCTTCCTGTCAGCAGCCAAGGCCCCTTATCTGCCCCCCGTATCTGGTCTCAGAACTCAGTGGATGTCTCAATCCCTTTATAGTCGTGGCCCTGGATGGACCTGGGAGCTGGGTTTGGCTGGACTCATTCTCTGTTTCACAACATAAATTCCCTTTATCTGTTGACCAGCTGCCAGCAGTCCACTGTGGCTGGAAAAAAAACAATGGAGCACATCTGCCCAAATGACAGGTGTGACCCAGCTGGCATTCACTTTCATTGTACTGAGTTTCTACTTTTCAACTTAATTTCGCTCATTCTGCTGACCAGCTGCCAGCAGTCCACCATGTGTGTGTGGGTTTTCCCTTCTCTCTCTGGGCTGCAGAGCGTTCATGGATGTATACAGCACCTGTGGGCTGTGGGAATTCAAGTTTGTGCTTCTGCCCCAAATGGCAACCTCGTCCTGGCTGCTGATAGTGGGAGCTTCACTTACCAATATTCTTTTCCTCTTGGGTGGACTTTAGGGGGAATATTGTCTGGCATTTTCGCTGCTGCCTCTGGCTGTTGTAAGCCTCTTCTGTTTCGGTCCAGGTCTCAGTTTCTCAGTGAGAGGCTGAGTTGTTTTTGTGGATCCCTACTGGGGCAAGTATACCACTGATTGGCTGGGTTGGGTGTCTTTGTTCTGTGTGATTAATTCATAATGAATTCTTCTCCTCTGTTCTCTTGATGTTCTCATATGCCCTCTGCACCCTTTTTGGGGGGCTTTAGGTTGATGATTTCCAGGTATTGGGCATTTATCCTGGGAAAACTATGGTGGTGGCCTTCACCATTCTGCCATTTTTCTTCTCCCTGTCTTTTACCCCTGAGAACCTGATTAAGGTGTGTCTTGAGATAGACTCGTTTGCACTAAATCTGGTTGATGACCTTTGTCCTTCTTGTCCCTGAACATTGGTATCCTTTTCAGGTTGGAAAGTTTTCTGTTACAGTTCTTTGAATAAGCTTCCTCCCCTTCAATGTTCTTAAGTTCTTCTTGAACCCAATTAAATCAAATATTTTCTCTTTTAATATTGGCACAGATGTCCTGTGAGCTTTTTTCATTCCTCTTTGTTCATTTTTTTCTTTGTTCTCCTTCAAATGAATTTTCAAATAGCTTGTCTTCAGGCTTACTCATCGTCTCTTTTGTTTTGATCTGTTTTGTCTTTCATGCTTTATGTCACATTTTTTAATTTTACTTAGTGTATCCATCTCTTTGTTAATTTTCTCTGTTTGAATATTAAATAACTGTTCAATCTGTTTTCCTCAAGCCCATTGAGTTTTTTTTACAACCACTGTTTTAAATTCTCCATCTGAGAGTTTTTCCATACTGATTATTACCTGACCAGTTTCCAGCACCTTATTTTAACTCTTAGGTGAGGCTGTGGTTCACTGCAAGTGCTTGATACATGTTGGTGTGCTATAGTGTCTACACAGTGAAATGTCAGAAGTTTATTCCAGTCTTCCCAATCTAGGTTGTGTGTCCCTACCTTTCCAGAAATCCTAGGAAGACTGCTGATTTTCTCTGACTATGGAGTCACTTCCACTATTTCAACACTGAATGGCACCCCAAGTGCAGGTTTGCCAAGTCTGCTGGTGGTATGTGTGGTGTCCCTATTTTTACACTAGAGGGCAATCCAAGCCAAAGTTTGTCCCAAATCCGTAGTGGGTGTGAGGTTCAGAACAAACCAGGAAAGATTCTAGAAAGGGAAATCCATCTCCACAGGCCTCTGCCTGCAACCAAGCTAAACCTACACAGTTTGTCCTTAGTCATGTCAGGGTTGTCCAATCCCAGGGCCCCACTCAGCCTCCATTGAAAACTGAGGTAAGAATTGTTTCCTTGCTGCTGGGAGATTACAGACCTGGTTTTCCCCTAGGCCTCTTTTGACACTGCCCAACTGGAGATGAGAAAGGCACCCCATTACAGCCTGTGGGGAGGTACAAGTTTATGCCCCTCACATGGTCTCCACCAATACCACAGTGGGGTGGCGGGTGTCCATTTGTTTCCAGCTGGCTTTGTGAAAGTCCCAGGTCACTATATGGCCTTTTCTGACACCTCTCTGGAAGGAATGCAGGTTGCCTTGTTATAGCACTCAAGGTTTGGAGTCTAGGTTCCTCTCTCAGCCTCTGCTGTTGCAGGTGAGTTTCTCATGGCAAAGTAATCGCAGAGTAATGTGTCAATCAAAGCAGAGGTGCTGCTGATGCGGAGATGCAGCAGTATTTTATGTATTTCTTAGAAAGAGAAAGTATGTGAGTAAACTGATCCTGATTTGAGAGGTTAGAATTTGGCAACAGCATGCTTTTTGGAACAGATTAAATATGGTCATGTGAAAAGGATTGGCAGAGTGAAGAGCAAACAGGACACATAAATGTTCAAACATGTTTTATTTGCTGTGTTCTAGTTAACAATCAGATTGCTCAACTTACAAAAGTAACATTCTTTTTCTGAGAATGTTAACAAGGCCCTTTAACCCATTTGGTGCGCCTCTCTCCCTTGCAGAGATAGAGCAGCCTGCTTTGCTATTCAGAAAGGATTACAGGCTTCACGTAGTGACATTAAGTTATTTAATCATAATGATGTGGCTGACCTGGAGCGACTGCTAAAAGAACAAGAGGTTGAAGATCAAAAGGTATGATTCTTTTGAAGAAAATTATACACCTCTTTTGTACTCTCTAACCAGCTAAATTATAAATGAAATGGTAATTTGTCATTGAGAACTTGCCCACAGATCACATTTGGATATTAACTAAGGGTGTATTCATGTTGGAGAGCTAGGTCTGATTGTAATTACCTTCTCATTGCCATCATTATATATGTCAGGTTTCAGGAGAGGTATTCCAGGCAGCATTCTAAGAGGGTTGAGGGCAGAGACAAACAGCATGCACTTGGTAAATAGGGAGATATATGCTCAACTTTCCATAACAGCTCCCATACTCATTAGGGCTTTAACAGTCTATATCTCGCACATTCATTTCACAATAAATCATGTACCTGTTACATGGAAGAGAAAATAGCAGAAGATCTTAAAGAGTTAATTTATGAGCAAAGTGAGATCCCGTCTCCCTAGCACAGCCTCACACTGGATCTCTGAACAGCCACTAGTTGTGGGAAGCAACTACTCTGAACAGGATCTCCTCATGTGTTGTGGCTGTTTTCAGTTGTTTATTCCCAGAAATCTGTGGAGCCCCTGGTGGTGGTGGTAGTTCAATAGCGGCTCTATTGTTCTGATTAGAGAATAGCACTAAGGAAGCATGTTGAAAGCATCACTATTAGGATTATAGTTTATTTCCCCTGATAGTATGAATAGAAAAGGTAGTTCTGGTTTGCTGTTCAGCAGCAGGACACCATGACGTGTGAACTGTCCTAGAGCCTAATCACCACGTCCTTTGTCTGAAGCATCTGTTTCAAGTGGATTCGGCTGATGCAGCTCCTTTATAGCTAAAATGACCATTCTTTAATTTTGTGTTAATTTCCGTTTTCTCATATATTTGCATTATTCATTTAGGATTCTGTCATCTTTGTTTAGAAGTCAGCCCAAGAGCAGAACTTCATGAATATACACATTTTCATGATGAATATGTATGAACTCAACATTTCATGCTCCATCTGCTGTAGGATAGTGTTTCATTTTATACAGTTTAGAAAAATCTATAGGGAAAAATTCTAATATTGAACCCATTCCAGTAAAAAGAGATGCCCTCTTCTGATCCAGTAATAGAACGCAGCTACTCCTTTGAATGCTGCTGCTGGGGAGAGTGTGCCCACGAGGCCAGCTGCTGCAGTCTGCTTTGTATAGTTAGGATTGTGCAGATTTGGACAGCATCACACTCAGGCTCCACATATGTTTTTATAAGATTTATAAACCCTGAAACATTTTTATGAATATCAACAAGAAATAAAATTGAATATCTTGAAATTTTACTTTTTTACTAGTTAATTTATATCACATTTTCCTGCCATGAATAGACTTTCTAAATAACAACTCATTTTGGGTTTTAGACTATCCCTTTTCAGTTTCATTTTCACATAAATAACAAATCTGTTAACTCTTAATATTTTCTACTTGGGCACCTCTTTTCTTTGAAAGAAAATTTAAAATATTTCAATTTAATCCAGTTTTGGATTGTAAAAGAACTATGCATAACTATGTACAAGGGAAAAACACCTTTCCTAATAACTAAGGAAATTAGGCCAGGAAATTTTCCCTGTCAAAGTAGGACACATTTTTAATAGTAATAATCAGTATCAACACAGGTGTGCCATGACAAAGGATATTCCTGTAACACTAGGAAGAGTTTAAATCAGCACATTTTTAGAATATAAATGGACATATATATTCCAGGATCCTTACATATCCCCTTTGATCTATACTTGAGGTGTTGTAATTAGAAAATAACTAGAAATGTCAAAAATTAAAGAATATTCATAAACAGAGAAACTACCCAAATACAACATTAAGGGAATAAATAATTTGTGGTTTATACACAAGATACAATGTCTCCTTTAATATCATGTTTTAAATTACTTGTGCTTTACTTCACTACATAATGTAGGAATGTTCACAGCATATTTTTTAAATCAACTTTTAAAATGATTACAGTGAAGTCATGTTTATACATATATATGTGCAAGAAAGACGAAAATTATTGCTGTGTGCTATAACCAGACAGTTTTTTAAATTCTTTTTTGTACTTTTTTGCTTCCCAAGGCTCCTTCCTACATTGAGTTTTTTGTTTTGTTTTGTTTTTGGTACCAGGGATTGAACTCCGGTCCTTACTCTTTTGAGACAGGCGGCAGGACCACTGAGCTAAATCCCTGGCCCACACATTGAATATTTTAAAATCCTAAGGAAATACTTTGGGGTATGGCTCAGTAGTAGATTGTCTACCATGCATAAAGCCCTAGGATCTATCCTAGCTCTGCAGAAAATAAAAATAAGAAAAACTAAGAAACTGTTTCATGTTTTAAAAGGCAAAGAAGGGCAAGATGTGCCTTTCTGGAAATACAGGGGGCTTCTATTCATTAATGACTCCACAGATCCATGCTGCTAACTGGGCAGCTTTCACTTCTGAGCTCACAGAGAGAGTGAGGAGAGTGAGCAAGCTTAGTGACCTCAACACAAATGCTTTTTATGTGTTACAGTAGGGGGCCTTAAAATGCCCATTTAAACATTGCTCTCATCCCTGATTTTCTAATTGTCTGTCACAGTAGAAGCTTAGAGGCAGGAAACCTTTGAGTAGGAAGCTAGTAGTAAGTTCTCTGTAAATCTCAGTGTTTCCTCACAGGAAGCATCTATAGATTGTTAATTGTGAGAGAATTCTGGTGACCTGCTGTGAGCAGTGTGGGGAGGTTATATATTGTTTGAATAGGGCTCTTTACCCCACCACCATGGCCATCACTGGCCAAGGTGACAGTTGAGTTTTACTTGACTCAGTAGGTCAGTGAGGGAAAGGGAAAGGGTTTCATTGTATTTTAGTAGGTGAAGGAGATCAGAATTGCCTGTTTTGTAACTTTAGATTGTAGAAAATTGCTAGCATATACAAGGGAAACAGTAATGTGATGCAGCCCACATACACTTCTCCCAGCATTATTAGCATCCTGTCAGTCTCATGCACCTGCACCCCTCCCTGTTCCTCAACCCATCTGGATGATGATGATCATGATGGTATTGATGATGATCTTCATCTTCATTGTGGTTTTTTTTCTTTTAGGATTACATGCAGACATTGAAATTTGCAAATCTTATCCATATAATTCTGACCAGTGTAACCCAGGAATTAGTGCTTCATCATGATATGAAGCGTTCCCATCTCTCCAGAAAGTTCCCTCTGGGCCCATCTCACTCATTCTGGGTTTGGATGGTTTTGTCTGTGCTTTTTATTTACTATGATCAGAGTACCTGGCTTAGATAATGTTGTGAACTGGAAAATATGTCACTGTTCCTCTCAGAATAGCAGGATCTCAAACACTGAGCTTTAAACTCTTTCAGACCATTTTTTCAATAAATATTATGAGATGTGAGCAAACATAATAGGTTTCATATTTGGAGTTACTGAAATGTAAGATGTTGGATTGTTTTCTTTTAAAGAATCCTCGCAAGGCTCGTGTGACTCGTCGGTTCATCGTAGTAGAAGGATTGTATATGAATACCGGAAGTATTTGTCCTCTTCCGGAGTTGGTAAGCATACCCGTTTAGTCATCATTCTGATATTTGGCTCTTGGGCAGATAGACCTTTTATTTATGGCCACAGTTAATTCAAATATATGATATACCTACTTTAAGTGTAGTTTGATAAGTTTTAATAGATTTATAAATACCATCACCACCACCATCACTGTCAAGACACAAAACATTGCCATCATTCTGGATGATTCCCTCAAGCCTTTTTGCTTGTTTGGTTTTTTTGGTACTGGGGATCAAACCCAGGACCTCACGCTTGCCAGGCAGGCGCTGTGCCCTCATGCCTTTTTGTAGTCAGCACACATTCCTGGCCCCAGCTAACCACTGATGTCCTTTCTGTTCCCAAAGATTAGTTTCACCTTTGTAGAATTTCATGTGAATGAAAACAAATATGTATTTTGTAAAACTCAGCTTTTTAACAGTGAAATCAGTATACTGTTTTTAGAAACCATGACCATTGACATTTTCCTCATCAGTGTGAAATTCACATAGCGCAGAATTAACCACTCTGAAATGTGCAGGTCAGTGGCATTGAGTGTGTTCACCATGTTATGTAGCTGTCGACTCTGCCTAGTTCTGAAACCTCATTCTTGCTATGCAGTCACTCTCCATGTTCCTCTCCCTCTGGCTCCTGGTAACCACCAGTCTGGTTTGTATCTCTTTGGATATACTTATGCTGTGTATTTCCTTTAAATGGTATCATGAAACATGAGATCTTTTCAGTCTGGCTTCATTCATTGGCATCTTTTCAGGGTTCATTTACATTGTACTGTGTATCAGGACTTCATTCCTTTTTAATCCTGCATAGTATTCCATTGTGTGGATATACCACATTATATTTGTTCATCTGCACATAGATGTTTGGGTTGTTTTTGTCTTGGCTATTGTGAATAATGCTGCTGTGAACATTCATATTTTGTGTATATATCCAATAATGTAACTGCTAGATCATGTAGTAACCAAGGATCCACCATTCTGTTTTCCACAGCAGTTGCACCATTTCACATTCCCATCAGCAGTATACCAAGGTTCCACTTTTTCTACCTTTCTTGACACTAAAAAGCTTTGCTTTTATGGTTTCAGATGGCTTTGCTAACTTTAAATGATAAGGCTTTCACTTTTCATCATTGACTATGATGTTAGCTGTGAATTGTTCATAAATATCCTCTGTTGAACCACCCTTATATTTGGCCATTGAAATTGGAATCTAGCAGTCCATTAATTGAGTAAAGATTCAAAATAAAGTTTTCATGCATTATTTTTAACATTTTTCATCATTTCTGCTAAGATATAACTCGGTAGTAATGCTTGCCCTGGGTTCAAAGCCTAACACAGAAAAAAAAAAAAGTGTTTTCCTATTTCTGAAGAAATCCAGATACATCCCAAATATTATTATAAGACTGGTTTTTTTTTCTTCTTTCTATTTTTGTTAGTGTAAAGACTGGTAAGAAAATGTGAGGGAGATGGAGAACCAAAATATCTTAGAACTGTATATTACAGGGCTACAATCATAAAGCATTGCAGATAGACAAATACATGATGAAACAGAATACTGGAACTACTGAAATATATGTCAGCATTGATTGTTTAGAGTTTACATGATGCAAGTTAAAATTTGACCCTGGGATTCCAGTCTTGTTTCACTCATTTGTCTGTTTCTGTGCTAGTGTTATTACCAAATTTTTTCTAATACCCGGTTTTAGACACTAGGTTAAATATATCTCATCAGGGGTCAAAAAAGTCATGTTGAAAAGATATAATTCTCCCAAAATTAGTTCATTCATTGTTGAAAATCCAACCAAAAGCCAATTAAGAATACCTTTGCTCATTTAGCAAGAATAGCCAGTAAAAAGTTGATGGTAAAAAGCAAATTACCAGAAACTTATGATATGGGACATCAACCCATCTTATACATTCTGTATATTGTTTCCATAGTTTTAGTGGAATAAAGATGTTAGTAATTTAACCTATAATTATTAAAAAGTATGCTTCCTGTACCAAGAAAGAATACATGAATCAGAGGAAGACCTGAGGGTCCCAATGGTTCTCATATAATTTTCATAAAAAATTTAGTCCCTGATGATTGCTATATTTTAATTCATTAATGAAACTGATTGTGTAGAAAATATACATGGCTGAATTGATTATACATTAGAGGAAACATCTATACACAAACATTCATATATCAGCTCCTAATAGATTGTTAGATTGTTTTTTTTAAAAATGCACAAAATAGAGTAATATACAGATAAATATGCATCAAAATGTTGATGACAAAAGACTTTCTTATAACCTTGAAAACAGAAAAATAGACCATTGAACCATAATAATAATAATGAAAATATTTTCTGCATATAAAACATTTCAGCCAAGGGTGAGGGCACACACCTGTAATCCAAGCACTCTGGAAAGCTAGGGCAGAAAGGTCACAAGTTCAAGCCCAACGTGGGCAACTTAGACCCTGTCTCAAAAATTTAAAAAAGTGGGAGCCAGTCCCAGCACCTGGAAGGAGGCTCCCCCACTGCTATTCCAGGCTCCTAAGAGAGAGAAGGTGAACCAATCCCAGCTCCTGGAAAGAGGCTCCCCTGCCGCCATTCCACACTCCTAGGGCAGAGAAGGTAAGTCACGTGGGTGCCAGAAGCACACACACACACACACACACACACCCTGCTGTGGAAATGAGAAGACACGTAAATAAGCCTCAAAAACAGACTTCCAGATCACCTACAGCAACCCCAAAGTAAAAAGAGATGGAGTAATCTGATACTCAACCACTTGGACTCTCTGAACTGGCAACAATAGAGGATCTGGGAAAAATGAAATCAGAAATAATTTCTCAGATAACAGCAAAGTTTGTGCTCGTGGTGCAAGACATGATTAATAAATCTAGAGAAGACACAGATAAAAAAATAGAGGATCTGAGGAACATGATGGAATCCCAACATAGGAAAAAAATGGAATCCATAAAACAGATGCAAACAGATTTCCAGGAGATTAAAAGCTCCATCATTGAAAGTCTGCACAGCAGA